ACACACACACACACACACACACACACACACACACACACACACACACATAGAAAGAGAGAGACAATAATTAAAAACCTAGGCTTCTAGTAAATACATTTTCAGTCACTTTCAAGTTACTTAATGGGGAAGCCACTGAATGCCACTGAAGAAATTTTGTCTTCTACCTCAAGTACATTGCATACTGTTCACTTCCAAATAATTTTTCACCTTCTGAATAGAAGTAACTTTATTATATATGGTGGAAACCAGTTCCCAATGAATATGAGCAACATTTATGGTAATAGTCCTATCTCTAAGAGTTATGAAATGCTACAGAAAGGATAAGACTGCAGGGTCTGTAACAACATGGAAATAGCATGTTGTAGAAATGTCAGAATGGAACTACACCTTGAAAAATGGGTGAGAATTGTATTTTAGAGAGGAGAAGAAAAGGATATCTTGCTGAGCTTCAAGATTATTGGTTCCATGTAAGCAAACATTAACTGTGTTCTGCTCACTGATAAGTCTCCATGGTGCTACAATAGATATTTCTTCAAGGCTTGCTAAACTAGTGCATGAGAGATTTATGAACCTTGATATTTGTGTTTCCACTCAAATATATTGGTGATCAGAGGGAATCTTCATTTTTATTTACTTGGGCTTTTCACCTTTGTTTCAAAGATAGAAAAAAATTGCTGAAGGAATGTATGTTGCAAAATACTAACTGTTAAGTTTCTACAATTCTTAGCACAGATTTTCAAGTAATTATAGTTACTATAGTATAACAATAAATGTCTTCTTTGGTGAGTTTTGTGCTACACAGTGAAATTGTGTTTATACATAGTTCTGCTTAAAATGAGTGTGGTCCATTTTATCTACATCACCCTGTCCACCATCAGTCTCATTCAGTGTGAGGTTCAAAGTAGTGCTGTCTGCTTATGTAGACAGTGGACGGGCCTGATTTCTTTCACCCTTTTTTCTTCAATGGGGTTCTTAAATTCCTGAAATTAAAAACCCAGACTCAGCAGTGTGATGGTGGTGCATGCCTTTAATCCCAGCACTCTAGGGAGGCAAAGGCAGGTAGATCTCTGAGTTCAAGGCCAGCCTGATCTACAGGGTTCCAGGACAGCCAGGGATACATGGAAAAACCCTGTCTTGACCCCCCCCCGAAAAAAAACAAACACTGATAAGTCTAGTTTGTTGCATGCAATTGAGACAGCCTGGCCATGGTTTCACGTATAGATTCAGTCCTTCGATAGTCTTTTCTTTTTCTGGATTCTTCCTATGCTTCCGCATTCCAGGGAAATGACAAAGCAGTGAACCAAAGAAGTCTTCCTTATGCATCACAAGGTGATACACAGCATAAAGAAATATGAAGTAAAGATGGAAGTGATAGGGAGCCATTTGGTGATTACGGAAAGTTGTGTTGGTGAGATATTTAAGCAAGTATCTAAAAGAAATGAGTAACTCCCAGAGACAACTGGATCAAGAAATGATTTATTGGAGTATCCCTCTACTAGATATGGTACATGGGCCAGCAACACAGAGAAGTGTTAACCCAACCTTAACAAGCCAGAATCTGCAATCTACCGAGATGCCCAGCTGACTTGTGCTCATATTAAAGTTTGAGAAGTGACTCTGGTGTCTGTGGGTCCATGCAAACATTGTCATTTGATAGTACTGTGTTCAACTTCCTCTATCTGAAGCACTGGGAGGTCACAGAAAGCTGTTTCAACAGGTTTTATTTCTGGAGTGTGTCATTCAGTGTTTGGTCCTACCCCACTAGTTTTGCTAGGGATGGATACAATTGCAGGGGATTTCAGCAGCTCGTGTGTCATTCTACTTTGCGTGTGACTTCCCTCTAAATACGAATTATCAAGAAAGTTCGTGTTTTTGCTAGTACTCCTTAGGGAGTGAGTCACTGAACCTGATAGGTGTCACTGTCCATAGTGTGGCCTCTACTGAAGGTAAGAAATGAAACAGGAAGGGAAGATGAAGAAAGAATGAATCCCTGCCTGGCAGATGCCTCTATAGACAAAGTCAAAGCCCTTAAGGCATCACCATAAAGCTTCTTAGACTGATTTGTTATTTTTTTTAAATCAGAAACTCATTTAAATAATCTTGTTCATACCTCCTAAGTCATAAGGCAAATTCCAAGGGAATAGAATGCACTTTTTATCAAAAAATAAAACTCTGATCTTACAGGGACTACCCACTGAATAGAAACTTGAAATTAATATATAGCTGAAGAAAATAGGTTCTGTAACCCAAAGATTCTGAAAAAATGTGATCACAAACACCATAGAAGCTTATTTACATTGTGAAGTATATTCCTTTCTTTAAATCAGTGTATCTGCAGGTTTATGCATATGAATGAGCAGCTGTGCCATGTAAAAACATTTTACCAAGGCAAATAATTGTATCTTAAATGCCCAGGCAAGACTGGCAAAGTCCAGTGGAACTTGGAACAGAAATTACACCAAATCATAGAAAGTGTTTAAAATGAGCCAAACTCTGGCCTGGGAAGGAAATACTTATTTCTAGTACATACCTTGTGCTATTTCATCCTTTTGAGCCTCTTTTCTCACACTTTTTAAATGGATAAGCTAGGTGAGATATTTTCAGAAGAACCTATATAGAGATTAAATTCAGACTCAAAAAAAAAGGTTCCTTGATCCATAAGCTCCATTATGTGAAAGTTTTCTCACAAATATTTTATCTTCTCTTCATACCTTCTAATGCATAAGAATAAATGAATGAACTGGAATCTGTGTAGTTTAACTACAATTACTAAGAAATCAAAATTCAAAGTTATTAGGATTCTTCAAGATGACCTCTTCTGGTTCTTCATTTGACACACTGCAGGACTCAAGTTCAGTCAGTGTCCAAACAGGAGGAGGTTCTGTTTTCAAGTTGTAATAGCTCCTGAAGCAGAGGCCAGCTGAGCAGTTCCTGATCTTCTTATTTCTTTGCATTCACCATAGTTGCTGACAATGCTCTGTGCTTAAGCAGAATCCAGTAAGATCTTTATAATCTAAGAACATAAAAGGGTCAAAAAGTTCTCAAGGTGGGTCAGGGCTTTCTCGTTTTATTATCATGTCTAACTGGTAACTGCTAATTGTCGTTGTTTGTATATCATGGTTACTATTAGATACGTAAGCAACTATTTTTAATTTGAAAATACATGCCAGACTGTAAATACTAATACTTTACTATCTCAAATATATTATGATTTCTTTTTCTCCATTATAACTCACTCATGCACTAGCCTTCATCCATCTAGCCATCCATCCACTAAAGCATCCCTCATCAATGAGCTCATCCTTACATGTTCTAAAATGTCAAATATAATACATTGCTAAATATGTTACATTAACTCTGGCTTTATTAATGAGTGGTATATTATAATTTTTAATGAACTATTAGGAAGGAAATTTCACATGACACTAGAATTTGTATTGTTTAGCAATGTGCTTCTCTAGAACCGTATTTTTTCTATCTATCACCACTCCCCCAATATGCACACATACAATAATAGCTAATACTTAAACCAGCAACTAGAAATTCTCCCAAGGGCTGGAGAGATGGCTCAGAGATTAAGAGTACTGACTGCTCTTCTAGAGGTCCTAAGTTCAATTCCCAGCAACTACATGGTGGTTCACAACTATCTATAATGTGATCTGGTGTCCTCTTCTGGCATGCAGAGAGAATACTGTATACATAGTGAAAAGCAAAAACAAATGAACAAAATAAAACAAACTCTCCCGAGATACTAGTTTTAAGCATTCAAAAACAATGCCAAATGAATAGGAAGAGAACACGCACTAATAATTATCCTCATTATGGAGTGACTGGTATGTCTAAATTTTGATATGCCTTATGCCATTTAATCATCATAATGTGTTAGAGACCTGGTTTTATCTTTATTTTTCAGATGAGGGAATAAAAATCTTTACAAAATTACATGATAAATAGGTTCCCAAGGCAAAATTTCCACAGTGGCCTGCCTGGCTCTCCTGCCCATTGGCAACACCACATCTCCCAGCAGGAAGACCTTAACTCCCTCGCTCTGGGTCCCCACCTAGCCCCTCTGTTTTTGAAAGGTGTAAAAGGCCATGGTCTTACAACTAATGGAAGTGAAGCACTTGGATTTCTTTGCACTTCCCTTGAAAGCCTCATCAAACTTGTATCTGCAAGGCTTACGCTCTGCCAAGCTGCACTGTGCGGCTGAGCCTGCTCCAGAACTCCCCTTGACTCCAAGAAAGCACTTTCAAATTGGCAAGATGTTGTGTAATAAAATACACACCAAGTGTCTGAGCAATTGAAGGAAAGAGGGTAGTGATTAGGCTTTAAAGCTGGATATAAAAAGAATTCAGATTACCGCCGAAGTACAGATTTCTGAATGTCATTCCTTCTAAATGGAACTGTGATTAGAGAGAGAGGGGGGAAAAAGACATCTGAAAAGGTCATGAAAAGAAAAATAGTAGCAATTTTGAATTTCAGTTAAATGGCTGAAATCTGGGGCATCACAAATGGAAATGCTCTCCCCTCACTCTCTACCCTGATGCAGAGGCTGCTGTGGTAGCAAAAGGCTTGCAATTCCCCAATGCTGCACATTGGCTTGATAATTAGTGAATTCTGCTTAAACAAAATCATGCCAAATCATATAGTGTGCTGCTGAGGAAATGAAAAGTCTATCTCAAGGCAGTACTAAAACAAAGAGGGAGATAAAAGGAAAAAAATATGTATATCAAAAAATTAAGGATAAGGTTTATTGTCAGTAAATATATATTATCTCTAGCAACAATGTGAGACTATGGATATTATGGGCTTCCTTAATAAGTGCTTTAGAAAAAAATACTTGTAAAGAGACACAAGGAATATTCTAGAACAGAGCCAGAATCTACAGAAATGCTGCTTCCTTCTGGCTGCATAACCTTTTCAAAGTCATTTGGCTTCTGTCACCTTCAGATTTCCTATCTATAAAAAGAGGTTAATAACACACTAAAATAGTAAGGCTAAAACTGACAAGTGCCTTATGTATGCCATACATTATTATATATATTCTAATAGTCTCATTCCTGTAAGCCCTAATTAGGCAAAGAGATGGGAGTTATGACTGTCCCTGACTTTTTTTTTCTTTTGTAAGAAATGATTCTCTTTATCAGAGGTTGACCTTGACCTTTTGACCCACTTGCTTCCACCTCCTGAGTTCTGGGATTTCAGGGTGAGTTCCATGCCCATTTATGCAGTGTCCAGGACACTGTGTGGAGGCAGGCACCCAACCCCCCCCCACACACACACACTTTAGAAAGGAAGAAACTGAAGCACAATATGGGTAGATGACTTCCCCAAGACTGTACATGGAAAACATGAGGGGCTGAGTTTCGGCTGTTGGTTCGCTCATTCTCTTGGTAAAATGAGGATCTGTTTTAATTTCTTCATAGCCCTTATGAAGGCATTCACAGAATTTAGTAGATGTAGTTACCTTTAAATTCTTTTTCTTTTTGTTGTTGTTTATCTGCCTATAGTCTCCCTTGGACCTATCGAAAAATAAATTCCATGAGGGACAGTTTCACTGCCTTACTGATGGGCATAGCCTTAGGAGGTAGAACTGTAGCAAGCACACAGAATTCACAATATTATTTATGGGATGTTGAGTTATAATTGCAGTAACTCTTAAAATATAACAATGCTGAGAAATTATAAAGACGATAAAAGAACCAGATTTTTAAAAATACGTGTATATAAGAAAAAATTCTAAGATATAGTAGCGTGTAAAAAGATGGCTAATAGTGAGTCCAGGAACTCTCAAAGATTAATGCGAGGTTTGTTTACTAAAGATATTCTTGGCAATTACAAGGCACATATGTTTTTCCTCAACTGTCCCCAAAGACAGACACAGTCTCATTTTCCAAACTGATAAGAAGAAAGAACACAGTGAATTCAGCATTGCTGTGGAGCCAAAAAGAAATACCAAGGACAGACAGGCTTAACTCATAACTCACTATGGAAACAAGCAAGTGAAGTCTCCCAAGTTTAATCTTAATAGCCATGTTGTTTAGAAGAAGGAAATATGACAATAGTGGTTGTCAGCATCTAAGCATCTGAGCAAAAAGCACCAAGTCAAGGTCAGAACATGGGCATTATGATGCCAGGCACTGAAGAGACCATGGACACCTGCTTTTTATTCATTACCCACATCTACACCCCCAGACAAGCAGGCCCCATCACTTCACTGTCTGTGTAGGAGTGATTCCAATGCCTTTGCTTTCTATGGGTGGGATAAGGAGATGATTACTCTCCTTCCAGTTGGAGAAGGCCATTTGAACAGGGATCACTGTCCTGTTCTAACCTTTGCTGGGCACTGAGAACAAGGACACAGCTCCCATTTGCAAAGGCTGACAAAGGGCCATGGTCTTCTGTGTTTGCCTAATGGATTGTTCTACATGCTGAACTCTAATTTGTGTTTAGGACATTTATTTCAAACTCTCAAACTCTGTTAAAGTGGAAGGCTAAGGGGAAGAGTCCAGATACAATCTTTAGAGTACAGATAAGCACTTTTTAAATGTATATTCAAAGACAACACCCCCCCATAAGCTACTTTCTGGTCTAGACACCAAACAACAACATAAGAGCCCTAATTTGGGTAGATAATGTATTGTATCAACAAAAGATACGTAGATTGAATCCTAAAAAGTGTATCTTTCTCCTTTGAAAGACAAAAACTAAGATGTCAGAAGCATTTATGATACAAATCTGACCCTCCTCTATCTTTTATTAATGCTCTTGTTTAACAGTAATTTAAAAGATATAAAGCAGGGTTGGAGAGATGGCTCAGTGATTAAGAGCACTGACTGCTCTTCCAGAGGACCTGGGTTCAATTCCCAGTACCCGCTTGAAAGCTCACACTTGTCTGTAACTCCAATTCCAGGGCTTGTGACACCCTCACACAGGCATTCATGCAGGCAAAACACCATTGAACATAAAATAAATTATAAAAGAAAAACATATATATGGCATTTGCTTTTGACACTATATCTCATTCAGATAATAATTTTTCATTCTAAGAACTTGAAAGTAGGTTGACATGCATCTATGAGAGGTCCACCAGAGCATTCACTTGGCTACCTTTTCCCCCAATATTAGGACCAAGAACAAATGAAAAAAAAGAAAAAATGAAAGAGAGAAAGAGAAACAGAGAGAGAGAGAGAAAGTCAACCCCCAGTCCCTTTTCCTCACATCAGTATTCTATATCCTGTGGGTTGCAGGGCAAGGGAATATACCACTTTAATGGTATAATGAAATTCATATTTTGAGCAAAGTGTTAAGGCTCTTTCCAGAAGCCTGGATTTTATCCAAGTCACTTACATCTAGGATATATGTCTTCTCCACCTGCCAACACCTACCAGCCTAAGTTTCTGCAGTCTGGGGCTGAGTTTCTCACTTCTCACATCAGAGACAGACCAAATACATCTTGACCTCAAAAGAACTGTCTAGGCAGTGGCTAAAATAAAGAGCAACTGTTGAGTGAATAAAGAGGCATTGTAGATAAAGTGGCCACAGAATACTTTGGAGCCAGACTCCCTAGAATCGAATCCTAGACCTGTCACTTATCAACTATGAAACTTTCAACAAGGTACTTAACCTCTCTAGATAGCAGTCTCCTCAATTAAAAATTGAGTTAACCTTATGAAATGATATGAAGATTAAATGTGTAGGTATTTATAAGCTCTTAGAAATAGTAACTTGATGATAACAAGTTCTAAAAGTTGACATAGATGGAGACTCACATCCAACTTCACTACCAAGGCAAGGCCACTGACTCCTAAACTCCTGCACACAAATCCTGAGAGCACTGGCCTGGGGGATCACCGCTTCTCTTCAACACCAGTCATCCCATTGCTTTGATATGACGCTTGGTCAGACATGTCATTCATCCCACAGTCAAGGATTGAATATCCACAGTGCATCAGCACTCTTTGGATTCAGGAACTGGGAAAAGGCTGAAAATTGTCTTTCCCCACCTCCCAC